CTCTCTCTCTCTCTCTCTCTCTCTCTCTCTCTCTCTCTCTCTCTCTCTCTCATCGCATCCCATCTATACTCTTCTCATGAGTTTAACGACACTTTTATGAGTCTTACATATAGTGTTCAATGCATAAGTCATGCGGTATTTAACTCGACAGCAAACAAATGTAATTTCACATAATTTTAATGTTAAAATGAATTTTCTTATAATAAAGACATTTAACATAATTTCAAACGTATATTATAAATATTATTAAGGGTTAAATAAACTTATAATTATTATTATAGTATTTTTATCATCATAAAATTAGTTTAACAATTGCATGAAAATCATAAAACAAATTATATAAGACGTTAAAAATAAAACAGTATATAAATGTTCCGTAAATTATATACATGTTAAAAGTAATTACGAAAATCGTAAACATTTATTTTAATTTAACAAAAATTACATTAAGTAAACACAATATACATAAAATAAGTAGGAATATACCATGGTTAACTTGTATGTCATTAAAGACATTTAGTACAGAATATTCTGTAATTCCTGTGGAAGTTTTGTATTAATAGCCCCTTTATAGCCCATTGTGTTAATGAAATTGTAACATTATTTATGAATTATTTATTATGGTATTTATGAATGCGATTCTTATCTCTAGTGTTTGACACTTAAGACAATTATTGTATAAAAAGTTGATTTGATTTTTATATAAATCATTCAAATTATGGGAAAATATGATTTGAAACCCGATTTATGTCCAGACATTGGAGACCAGAAACCAAATGTGGACACAAACCACTCATGTCTTCCGCATAAATACCAACTCAACGATACAATTAGTTCTCGTCTTTTGGCTCAAGACGTCGATGAGATTTCTTCGTTGAGTTTGTGTCCAAAGAGTGACAAAAGTGATGACTCGTTGGCCACAGACATGGATGACGTGAAGAGATTTATGGAAGAGTTGGACACGAGGTTCAGAATAATTGATTTAACCATTAAATCTGGTTTAGAAAAGTTGTCCGCATCTGAGGCCACAAACTCTATGTCTGGAAATGAGT